TGATTGTGAGCCAGTAAATCTAGCAAATTAAAAGATACAAAGGTGAACTTAGGTACAAAAGTTTTATGTGTAAATTCTGGTGTTCCATTGAGGCCATGATGTGACTGTTCTAGGGGTAACAGAATTGGCTTTGTCTAGCTAGAACCTACCATTTTTAAGGTTAAATAGTAAAATGATTCAACATTAATAATAATCTAAATCAAGAAATAGTTCTTAATTATTAAAATACAGTAAAATCTCTGTAAGGCAGAAACCTTTCAGAGAAGGAAGACCTGGTATTTTTCACTAAGAGAGAGCAATAGAAAAGTGGGAAGACTGCCAAAGACAGAGATGGTGGGAAACGCAGAGAAGGACAGCAGGCCGGTCGGTCTGGCTCTCCCAGGTCTCCCGTCCTGTGATGACAGCTTCGGACGCCTGACTCTTTCTCCTCATAGGCTTACTGATTTCAGTGCCAGCTTGAGAACGTCTCCGCGTGCTTGGGGTTCAGCACTCTAGTGATATGAGCGTGCCTGCGTCAGATGGGCACTGCACGGGAGGGTAGTCAGATACGCCGATGGCTTTCAACTTGGAATGTGGTCTCTTTAGTTTCTCACGTCCTCCCTTCGGGCCAACTAAGAGGGCTGTCCCTGCCTCACCCAACAGGCAGAGTGCTGGTGGGGGAAGAGGAGGCCCTGGAGGATGACTCCGAGTCGCGGTCAGATGTCAGCAGCTCCGCCTTTGCAGGTAGATGGCCTTTGCTGGTGGACTGTCACCTGCCCCGCTGCCTGCTGCCCCACCGCTCCCCACGCGCCTCTCCCCAGGCGCCTCTCCCTGGGGGGCTGGAGCGGGCTGGGGGGCAGCCAGAAACCTGTGGCAGGGTTGGGGAGCACACCCCCTTCTACGGCGCTGATGTGTGTGTGTGTGTGTGCTCGTGAGGAAACGGTGAATGACTCAAACTTCTTTCATAGCGTGAACTTTGGTGTGCATGTGGGCACGTGTGTGCACTCATGTACATTTTCCTGCAGCGTATGTTTGCTGTTTGCTTGTTTGTTTTGAAATTGGCTTTATATCCCTAAGCATAAATCTTTTGGGAAGGGCTGCTGGGTCGGTAGAAATGTCTCAGGAATTGAATGCGTAGTGAGGGGAGATGGGATTACATATAGTCAATGGATAGTGGGATTCAAAGAACCTGTATTTGTTCACTTCATAAAAGGTGAATGCTGGGGTCAGTGACAGTGCGCTTGTTGTATACTCAGATCCAAAAGAATATTTTAGTTTTGTTTTTAAAAAAGAAGTCCTTTTCAGTGTTGTCTAACACTTTGATTTCTTTCAGCGTTGTGAAGGTAGCTGGCCTGTGCGCATCTGTACATTTTGGCAGAGTTTAAGAGCAGTCTTTAAAATGTTGCTGTGATATACTGAGGATTAATAGGAAACTTAAGCAATAAGTGCTTGATCATAAGTTGTCATTACCGTCATGTGTATATGTATATATAAGGCTTTTTGGATTTCTGAGCAGTTCACCAACATTTAAAGTAAAGGAAAAACCTTGAGATGCGTTTATTTTATTTAGCTAAGGAATGTTTTCAGAGAACTGAGATTAAGGCTGAAGTGTTTGGGAAGGGAACCAAAGCAGTCTTGGCAGTGGCTGTTTATTTATCTATTTATTTCACAAAATAGAAATCGACTTCTTCCCAATTACAAAAATGAAACAAAACACAAAAAATAACAAGTCTGCAGAGCAGGTAAAGCTCACCTGTCCTCACTGCCAGTCGCCTCTGGGAACGACCTCTCCCGACAGCTTAGTGCTTGTCACTGCCCGGTGGTTTCATTCATTTACTTATTTATCTATTTACCTACCTGTCTATTTATTTATTTATAATGCATTTTATTGAAATATAATTTATGTACAGTGAAGTACACAAAACTAAAGTGACATAGGTCAATGCTTGCTTTTTGCAGTGTTCCTCCCCTCCCCTCCCACCCCAGGCAACCAACAAAGTTTCCCTCCATATATAAACCTTTCCTTGACCCTCCACAAAAACGAACTAATACTGTATTTGTCCTTCTGTGAGTGACTTTTTTTCACTCAGCATAATGTCCTCCAAGTTCATCCATATTATGTGGTGCTTTGCAGACTCTACATTATTCTTTAGTGCTGCATAGCATTCCGTTGTATGTATGAACCGTGGTTTGGTCATCCACTCTTCCGCTGATGAGCATCGTTTTGCTGTTGTAAATAGTGCTGCAATGAACATGGATGTGCATGTATCTGTTCCTGTCCTGGCTCTCACCTCTCTAGGATGTATACCTAGTAATGGGATTGCTGGGTCAAATGGTATCTCCAATTCTAGCTTTCTAAGGAATCACCATATTGCTTTCCATAGTGTTTGTATCACATCATAGTCCCACCAGCAGTGTATGAGAGTCCCAATCTCTCCACATCCCCGCTAGCATTTATTATTTTCTGTCT